GGTTTGATTTTATTTCGACCAAGATCACAAAGATGCTGAATTTCACTGTAGATCACCAGTTTCACTGCAGAAAGGCTAAGCCTCATATATTTGTCCCTCGTTTGCTTGACAAGCTTTATTGGAACGAGCTTCGTGGCTTCAGTTCAAAGGGGCAACGGATGTAGTGACGTCAGGTTTTACGCGATCCGAAATATAGTATAAAAAGGAGACACGGAAAAACAAATATAAGAAAATTATAGCTACTGGAGCGCTCATAGAGCGGCAACAGTAGACAGGCTGAGTTAAAGGCAAAAGTCTGCTCCGAACTATTAACTTTGTTGCGCATTTGTTCGACTATCAATGACATGGTTATTGACGATATTTTGTTCCGCAAACGCTGAACCTTTATCGTGTGCCGGTATGTTTATGCAGGCCATATGTATGTTCACCTAAGTCCTAGCTTTCGTCTAGTTTCTCTGATACAGTTGTCGCCGTAGATACAACTGAGGTGTCTTGATGAATGCAGTGGCGGAGGGGGCGGGCCTACCTTCACTGAATTCATAAAAATAAACTAAAGATCATATTACAGAACCACCGTTGGCATTTATGTGGGCTAGAAGACTTGGATTAGAGTTGATTTACAGCTCAAGTCAAGGAATCGTATGCTTGAGGCTGATTGGGCATGTTCCGTGTCCCTCTGTCATCATTGCAGTTGGTAAATGCATACCTATATTGTATGTTTTAACATAATCACATGCAAACAGAAGTACCAAGAGAGGCAAACATGCTAACGAACAGACTTTAGTCTCTCCAACCCATAAACGTAATTTCAAGTTCCAACTCGAACCTTCACTGTCCGATGGTACTCCACCGGCTGTAGAGAAGTGACTTTAAACTCAGCAAATACATTTTGTTGTTTGGTGTATTTTAGTGAAATTTCATTTTGGCTCGATTTTACATTTTCCATTTTCCCTCCTTCTGTTTGCAAAGCAGAACGATCCGCTTGAAGAAACAGTGCGAGAAGGGATTTAAAACTCGGGTTTATGTCGTCGAGTCTCTGGAAACAGATGTCAACGCATCTCATGTCTTTTACAGCGTTCAACCGTTCTTTCAGTACAATAGTTCTGTTCTTCTTTTACTCATTTCTCGTCAGCTCGTTTTCAGCCATCTTTCTCTTCTTCGGGAGTGGCTATGAGATCGAATGACGTCGTTTGTCTGTAGTAAAAGTTTCATTTGAACTTCTGCATATTTCGTAATTTAAAGCCATTCCAGAGATATCTGAAGCAAACAAAACAGAGATTTCTCGAAACTCCGTGCGAAGTGCGTCCAAATTTTAGGTGCCATTTCATAAATGTTATTGCGTCACTGACTGAATAGACAAAACTTCTTCAATCTGTCAGCGCCGCTTCATATATTACTAAACGAGACGCAATTTCTCTTGATTCTAGAGAACGAGGAGGAGGGCTTTTAATAAACCCGCGGTTTTATGTTTTCATGACATACGCTGTATTGAGTTAAAGCTGTTTCGCCCTTCAGCTTCAAGCAAGAAACATATTTGAAACATCTAAACCTGTGCGTTTATTTACAGATAAAATTTTGTTTGAATATAGAGGGGACATCAGACATGCAACATTTCTCAGAGTTCCAACGACAACGTTGCACCATGTTGCTTTCTGAAGTCTGAAGAGTGGTTGAAATAGGCCTACAGGTACATACTGAGCTGCTGTATTACAATGTCTAATGTTAAACTTACTCTGAGCTCCAGTGCACATCTGCATAGCATGACATAACTTGTCAGCGTCGATCGAGGCGTAAGACATTTTCAAGAACGGTTTAAGGTAGATAGTCATGAAGTCAACGCATGCTCTCTTGCTGGCCTCTGGTAAAGCGTTGCAACCCGTGATGAAGGTTTTGGAGGTCATGTCCTTAAAGAAAAAGTGCGGACCGTCACGGTCAACAAAAAATTAGCTGATCTTGAAAAAGCCTATACCAAAAGCTTCTCATTGCGTTCCAGATACTGTAGCGCAGCCGGCAACACGAACTCGCAGAACAGGCAACCGACGGGAGTCGACTTGGCGGTCGTCTGCCGACCAATTTCTTCAACGGTGCTCGGAACCGGCTGCTTGAAAGAAAGAAACGTTCGAACGCGAAATACTATGAGTTCTAACAACTTCAAGGCTACCTGCTCGCCTAAGCCGTCGAAGGACAGACGCTGCGATATCCAGAGTGAACTCGTGGAACAGAATTTGATCGACTGGCACACCGACAGTGGGTTTTTCTGAATTATGAAAAAACTTGCTCATTTCACGAAACGCTTTAAGATCCAAAACACGTACCATATATTCAGAAATGTCGTCGAAGATCAGAGGGACGTATGAGTCAATGGCCGATTCGCACTGAAAACGAACGAAACGAACCATAACAAACCATGAAACACAATAACCATCTCGACGTACCTCAGGCTGGATTGTTCTGACGACCATGCAAATCTTTTTCAGTTCTGCTGCGACCTGCTTCTAGAAATTAAAAGCTTCCAAGCCCATGAACTTATTGAAATACGGTAGAATGAAAGCAGTAATATTCTGCGACGGTAGATAAGCATTAAACATTTTTTGCCACCAATCATTCCCAAAATCATGCTCATATCTCACTTCGAATTTTGCCTCATTCTGACTTCAGAAACAAGAATCTGTCTCGTAGCTGACAGCTTTACAGCAAGCCTATTATTCGTTATTGGTGTCCATTGCTCTGTCTTTTATTTAAAAGAGATGCACGCGGAAACTATACCTGCCGTCATAGAAGGAAAGCTATGTGAATGGTAAAAATCTCTAATAACCGTGGAGTTCGTCAGAGAGATGTGTTTTCGCCTTTTCTATTTATTATTGTTATCAATTTTCTTCTACGAAGCAGTGATATCCCAGGCCAAGATGGAGGTCTCATTCTAGAGGGAACGCTCAGTTCAAGAAGCACAAGATATCAATGCACGTATTGCCGTGGTCTGCTGTACGCAGATTATACTGTTCTGTGAACTGTGCTTGTAGAGGGCTCTGTTACGCGACAATTTCCGTATGCAACACCGTGAAAGCCGGTCTAGTCTTAAACGCCCTGAGGTCAGAAGTTATGATGAATCAAGTTGGCACAGCTGAACTAACAGTGGAACAGGGAAGTGACGCCTTCAGACAGATAACCAATTTAAGAATCTCGGATCCATCATATCTAATCATAGCATTATCCGGCCAGAGTTAAGTTGAAGATCGCAACAGCTGCGAGTGCTTTCATAAACATATTCAATATTCGGCTAAAAAATTAGTAACTGTTCCCACGAAAATCTGTCGTACTTTACGTCGGTCACCTTAATGTTGTTGTATAGCATTAAGATTGATTTTCTAAGGAAGGACTAAAACGTTGGTTGAACTGCGTAGAGCAGCGTTGGCTTGAACACCCAGTCAGGGCTACAAGGCATGATCATGTAACGAGCAAATATACTCCCTTCTTGGTACAAATGACCTCCGTAGACCTCGAGATTAAGAAAAGATGGGTGGCCCCGCGAAACAAACAGTTTGAGTAAACAATAGTAAGTAAACTTTACTCCAGCCAATTAACTTCTCGTGTTGGAGCCGAAACACGACAGATGTCGATTTGAGAAAGCGTGCTACGCGGAGGAACAAAGCAGAAGCACACGCTTTCAGAGAGGATTCTTTCTTTCTGCGCTACAGTAACCAGTGCCTCATAGCCCTAAGTGCCGAAAGACTGCAGAGACAATGGATATGATAAAGCAGAGACTATCTGTTTATGCAAATGACGCAAGGTGATGATCTTAACCAACAGAAGCAAATAACCGTAACAATTTAAATATAGATCTTACCTCTGCTCGAATAACGCGACATTTCTCACTGCTGGACTAAGATGCCCATCCTCACCAAGTATGCCACAAACGTTTTATTAATGCAACACCAGGGAAATCTTAGAAACTGAACCATTAAAAGCGACTGCCTAGCCAGATGGCAATACCGTAAGTATTTAGTGTTGAAAAAACCTTCAAAAAATGGAACACCACCAGTGCCAAGAAGAAAGAACAAGGTGATGTGCACACAAGATCTAGAGTGTGAGCTGGCTTCTCACTGACCATGTCTGTTAATTACGTTTTGCAGCTTAGCATAATTTTATGACAATTATGAATAAATAATTGGCAATTGATTTCTTCTACTTTTGTTCTAAAGATAGAAAGTAACCATTGCTGACCAAACCTCCAGCAATCGTCATTTTACCTGAACAGCCGGATCGGTTACAATCGTTCGAAACTCGTTGATGGCGAACTGGCATTCGTCACAAATTACGTTACGACTTGATTCATCGCTTGACAGCTGCAGATCAAACAGCGTAGATTTTAGACACAGCGGAACTTTCGTTACAGATTTACCTGAAGCATCTTCTGCGCACTATGCAGCACGTTCAAATACAAATGAGCAGGCACATCAAGAGACTCCATGCTGCTGCAAAGTTTCAGCGTCTTACATGCCAACTCTGGATCTCTCTAGAAAGCAACAGTGGTCATGGTCAAGTGGCAACGAGATACTGTTTACCAGCTGAGGTTCAATCTCTCGGACTACCCTGTCGAAGTTGTCCAAAATCACTTGACACTGAAATCATACCTCTGTGCCTCTGTTCTTATATAAAAAAACGACCAATTTTTTTTACCTCGATTTTGAACTGCGGAAGAAAGTACTCGCAAGTGATCTTGAGAAGCAACTTCAAGCGGTTCTGCAAAAAATACTTCATTTTAAAAACTTAAGACAACTTTACGAAGAAAAAAACTTTATTTTACCAGCTTCTTGGTGTCGTTCAAATCATCATGAATCTGTTGAACGATCTGTTTGCATTCGTCGCATATCGGAATAGTTGGTAAGGACTGCTCGGATGGCGTAACAGCCTGAAGATCACAAGTTTTTGAAAGATTCAAAACTTCACATTTGACACGCGAGCTAAGGCAATATAAAAATATACCTAAATCTTTTAGGGTTGAGTTGAACTCTGAAGCAGTAATTAGAAGCTCACGACATTCTAGTCTCTCCAAGCATCTACCATTACTTGTAGTTATGAGCGCTGAACACCGACCGAGCGTAATAACGAGACAAAAAAGTGACATTTTTGAAAAGAATTTTTGAGGCCACGAGGTCAGACAAATTCTACAATCCCCCGAGCTCAAGGGTACTGCTGAATTTGCGCTGCCAGTTGAATAAATCGAAAAATCATACTCGAGAAAGTTTCACGAGAGATGTCTGGTGAGAGATTTGCAACAGAAATTATTTATACATAATTCTTCAGGTATCTGATTATGTGCCGAGAGCTATATATACATTTGTATGACTCATGATTCGGGGCACCAAATACAGCAAATGGTAAACCGTTTAATGCCAATGCCATTCACTGCACATACCGCAGCACCATCAGGGCTAGACATTTACCACCGTGTGTGCTTGATGCCCTGAACCATGAATCATTCAAACAATTATTTATGAAAAAATTACCTTCGCGATATTACGTAGAACATGGAGAGACGGAGAGAGAGCAGAAGTAGAGAACAATACATCGAACTTACATATTTGCTTAAAATAGGCTAATCGAGTTCATCTGGTGAAAGGGAAGGATAGTTTCTAACCGTTGGAATGTCGGTCTTCCATATATTTCCCTGATGGAGCCCTTCTTTTCATGAAGCTAATGGTAAAGCACTGATCTCAATTTCCATGCCATCAAGTATGAGTGCCTTATTGTAAAGGCAAAGCGCCAGCAGCTGCCATAACCTTCTGAAACAGCGACGATAATTTATCCAACTAAGAAAGAAGACGGGTGATCCGATGGGGGCTCGAACTCAGGGCCCCTGATTCTAAATCAAGCGCTTTACACTCTAAGCATCCCCGATCGAGTACTCGCTGATGTAGTACTTGGACGATTGAAGAACTCTATTTAAACTACAATAATAACAGCCTCATGACCCTACAGGATTTGGGGAATGAACTGAGGTTAGACGAGGCAGAGTTAGAACCGAGATTACACAGTCATCAACCGCTTAATAATTATTCACCGGAATGGCACTCCTCTGTGATCAGAAGGTAAATGGAGCAATAGCACTCCGTATCAGCTGAAAAGAAATGCGAATAATGGCTAGCCGTCCACTAATCAATGAAAAACAGCTACTTTCATAACTTCCGAGTATATTTATAGTTTTGCGGGACACTGTAGATGCTCGATTACCACGAAGTCATGCTCTGCCTAAATATCATCTCTCCATCGTTAAGCAGCTAGGAGAATCCGGTCTCGGAAGTCATGCGCTTTTGGCATGCGTTTACGTGCGAACATACAACATAATCATATTATAAGTGCCAACTCCTGAAACACGTTCGTGTTAGACACAAGGTGGCCATAGCGAACAGGATGGTGCTAAATGTATTTAGTACTGTAGGTGCTCAATCATCATGGGTTCATAACCTACATCCCACCAGGCAACTGGGATCAAGGCATCGGTGTAATATGGGGTGCAATGCAGTCCAGGAAGAAGTACGAGTTATATTATGCTTACACCTTTGTCTGTCGGCAACAGAATCATTGAGCCTCTTAGCCTCACACGTGGATCAACGGTTAGGAGCCTGGATACAACGCAACAGTGCTAGTCTATCAGTCTGGTTTTTGAGAGGCTACTCGTCATCTGTCATAACAGTACGTGTACAGATATCACGACCGCAGTGAGGGCGTGCGCTATCGAAGACCTGGACACGTCGGTAACTTGTTTAACGTCTCCAGGCTGACCGCATCGAAGCACAGTAAAGTGAACTGATTGCCTCCGATTATCTTAGGTAAACAAAACACTTCTTACCTTTACTTCTTCGAAATGTTTTCTATTACTTTTTTGCATTGATTTCATCAAGCGCTTTTCGCTGAAAACACACGCTTCCAACTAAAGCAGATATAACTAGCTTATGCTCGATGCATTTGGCTGGTTTAAGCTGCACTGAGTCAATATAGTCTCCACCATCTGCAAGTTTAAACAAACGGAGAAGAATCATCAACTTCAAATCTTGTTTACTCTGACAACCGTAAATTGTTTATTTTACGATATTCTAATTTGGATAAAAAATTCCACATGGCAGCCAAGAGAGCGATGATCTATCGATGGGAACTAGTTCAACGGACGAGAAATTGAAAACGAAATTGCTAAATTAAAAGTAGTGCCTAATCGTGCTTCACTGAACCTCTTGACACCGTGTTTACCAAGAGAATGGACTCACGCCCACGAAATGTGTTTGTTATTGTCATGAACAACATTTTGTTGATAAAGCTAGAATTAGTCATTATTAGTCATATAAAGGAATTCTGGCATATTTCAATAGAAAGGCATCAAGTTGCGATGCAGTGGCATAGTGGACGATTACGAATTTCGAAGGTGCCGGACTTCAATTCAGAAAATGGAAAATATTAATATTAACTGCTTATTCCCTCGAGCAACCAGTCCACCGTGTAACCAGCCGAAAAACAGTTGGAAAGCCATTGACTGGCACACAACAGGTGCACATAGTCCTGATGTTGTCATATCCTCCATACGTAGGCGAGATGTGCGGTCGTGCCAAAGATGCAGTCTTATCATTGCACTTATGATAATTGACTTTTCAGTACAATCAAAACAAGGTACATACTACTCCTCATCCATTGTTTAAAGTCGAAAGTACGGAACACTAGTAATAATCAGAGATGCAGATATCGATATGACGAATAGACAGAAACACAACAATCACTGTGATGAATTATGTCAACGACCGACAGCGATCGTGTTGTTATTCTGTTTATTTTGATCTTGATGATGTTATCAGTAATGTTACGGCCACGGATGAGAAAAATTCAGAAACTGGCAATATATAGATGTACTAAATATCGTCGGCATAGTCTCACCACGACAAAATACTGCTTTAATTTTTCAGTGGCCACTTACTAGCTACCCGTTTCTTAGGTACTGACGTAGATGTTGTAAAAGGAACGAAAATCCCTTGATCAATGAAAGTTGCATAGAGTAAAAAAACGTTTCTGATTGCTAAGTGCTGAGGCCTCATCATCGTCATGTAATATTTCAAAAAATCACAAGCACCAACAATGCATATACCTATTATTTATTGTTCATTTCCTGGTGCCAATGCCAGTTGAATCAAAACGTTAAATTAACCTCATCCCTTGCATCTTGAATCAAGATTTTATCCCTCTTTCTACTGCAGAGGCACAGGATATCAGTCCATTAACGATAAACAGTCCGCACATCAGTTAATGTAATTATACATACTGTCCATCGCTTACCGGTTGCGTGTTCTTCAGAAGCTGGATGACGTGTTTCTTTGGGATTCGGTTATTAGACAACATGTACGACTTGACCTGTTGTTCATCATCGTCATCAAGACACCATGTTCCGGAAGCAGCAAAAGCTAAACCCAGCAAAACATTACAAGGGTATAGTTTCTAACAAAACTTTTATGAGGCAGTTTCGGACTTTTGCGAAACACCATGCACATGTCAATGTATACGGTAAAAATGGAACAAGTTTAACAAAGCAATCGATTTGCTACCATGACGTCATCAACTCAGATCGGTCCTTGCAACATACGTTGATTTCTAAACACCAGAAGAAGAAACGGTGAGGAATGTTCCTTACAACCTCGTGGTAACATTACTAGCGAAGGCAGAGAGACCGACATGTGTCGAGCAACGCAACCCGTCGGTACAAACTTGAGGTACTGGCGGTCACCTCACCTCGCCTACCTTGGTGATAATTGCTCGCTGCTGGTATCGATATCCATTTGTCAATAAGGATAAACCGTAGCTTTTGTGAAGTAATCAGTTGTCAGAAATGGTCCTGGTTGTCACGTAAATGTCAAGCATACGCAGGTGAAAGTCACTGAAGGCTATTCTCGGACAAACGTATCAAATGACAGTCACAAACACGCTTTTTATGACTGTTTGCAGGCAATTATTACCACTCCGATAGGTCATTACGTCGCAGTTCTCACCAGCGGCCTCGACGCCAAGGTTGGCTGTGATTACAACACGTGGTCAGGCGTATTCGGCAGTCACAGAATTGAGACCACAAATGGCAACGGCACTCGCTTCCCAGACCTTTGCTGGATGAACGGCTTAATCGTCGGTGGGACCATATTTCCGCGTAGGCGAATTTGCCAAACTACATCGACATTCCTGATGGAAGCCGACAGTTCCAGTTGGACCATTTCCTAATCAGCAGCATGTCACTCAAAACTGGACTCAATCATGCAGCATACATCGGGTCGAATCATCGTACTATCGTAGCGGAAATCCGCCTAAAATTGACCATTGTTGCAATCGTGTGTTCTGGTTCAAACACGTCAGCTTTTCGATGTTAACGGGGTAAAGTATGGTATCACGCAGAGTTATGTTAATGCCACCGTTAGTGCCAGGTTTGCAGGTGGCAATGTCAATGAAGTTTACAACCTTGACTTAACGACTGTCTTGTATATCTGGAGTACGCAGATTATATTTTCTTAATGAGCATTACGAGGGGGCTCTGTCACCTGAAGCGAGAACCGGTTTCTGCCCTAACAAACGGAAATCCATATTTATAAGGAATTAACCAGACATGACTGACCTACTCGTCGAACAATGAGGGGGAAGCCACAGAGGAAATCGACCATTTTAAGTATTCCGGATCAATGATCTCCAACGGTGGCACCATTGAATCAAAGTTAAATAAGAGGATCGCCCTCTCCTGTGGTACATTTGTAACTTATCAAATGCTTAAGCTGAGAAAGGACTAGCCCATCTCACAGAAAGGCCGTCTCTCTCTTTCCTCTATCAGTTCTGTGTTATGCACGCATGGAGACAGTTCTTCTAACAAAGGAGCAAGAACGACGGAAACCGCGTAGAGCACCGTTGGCGTCGAGGCACAGTGCTGACCCTGGCACGACGGAGGTCTCATTCTAGACGGGAGGTGCAGTTCAAAACACCCGGCTAGATATCTTGCTCACGTGGAGGAAGCAGATGATATTGTCATGGTGAGGTACAGGAATTGGTGTCTGACACAAGACGACTTCCATATGCAACATAGTAGCGAAAGTGCGCTTCCTCCTTAGCCGTAAATCAAAACTTGTGGGGAACCCATCGGTCAGAGCTGATTTGCAAGTGGAGCAGTGAGGTGAAGCCCTTCAGGGAGTTGATCAGTTTCAGTTTCTTCGGCTGGGTCATCTCTGGCAATGACACTATTCAATCAGAGTTAAATAGGAGGATGGTCCTAGCCTCGAATGTTTTGGGAAAACTGTCCAACATTTTGGCTGCG